TTATTAAATGTCCTCTTTTTTTTTTTTTTTTTTTAAGGAGTTTTTTACCTTACATGCAAGGTAAAAACTCTTTTTTGCCAGAGAGAGAGAGAGAGTGAGAGACAGTGAGAGAGAAAGTGAGAAAACTCCCCTCAGGAGGGATGGCCGTGCCCAATACCTTCTCCTCCATTCTCCTCCTAGGATCTTGAGCACGCACGCACACACATGAGCCCAGCATGAGTTTTAAGTCACTGGGTCTGGGACTCGAACTGCCGTCAGCCATGTGGTAGTCCAGCAAAGTAACCTCTACACCATCTGGTGGCCCCTAAAGTGGCCTTATGTTTTTAAAAGAGAGAGTGAGAGTGGAGGAGAGAGAGAGAGAGAAAGGAAGATTTTGACAGGTGTCACAGTAGTAATTCTCTGTCTAGCCTCCCAGTTAGCCAGGACCATGAACACATGCCACCGTGCCCAGCCACTTCAGGTCAGTCTGGGATCCAAACATGAGCCTCCCACGAGATCCTTTTGCAGTGGCGCCCTGCAGCTTACACCATGCAGCTGGGCCTGCCCTCATTCTCTCTGATGATGTTGACGGTGGCAGTCTTGGTGTAGCAACAGTCACTTACTGGTCCTTTGTGTGGTCTGGTCATTGTTCAAATACTTTGCCACGCATTAATCCCTATACTGCTCACCACCACTGTGAGACAGACAGGCACAGGAGGTTGACAGACCAACCCCAAATCAATGTTGTACTGCTCGCCCTCGGTGATGAAAAATATCCACCTGTGATCCTTCTCGGCTTTGCTTTCCACTTCATTCTTTTCTCCTGCTGGTATTCTTCCTGCTCAAGTACGAGATAAAGATCCCACTCTATTTTTCCTTCTTGGTTTCTGTCATTCCCAGCACTATTTTCCCATTGTTTCCAGATGCCACCTTTTCCATAAGTGAATGTCTTGAATGGTTTGGGTCTCTTCCTAGACTTTTTGTCTTATGTTTCTGTCTGTATCGTCAGGGCCAGCACTGTACTGTTTTAACTCTTGAGTTTTTGTAATCAGTACTGCTCTCTGGTAGGGTTTCAACTCTTCGTTACTTTTTCAGAAACATCTTGGATCTTCTTGGCTTGTTTATCCATACAAACTTTTTCTTTTTATTGTGGAAAAATATACATTGCATAAGATTTACCATTCTAGGGACCAGCATATGGTGTAATGGTGATGTTGCTAGACTCCCAGGTAGTCGACTGCGGTTCGAGTCCCAGACCCGGCAGCTTAAACTCATGCTGGGTGTGTGTGCATGTGTGCTCGAGGTCCCAAGAAGAGAATGGAGGAGAAGGGATTGTGGCATGGCCATCCCCCCCAGGTGGTGATTTCTTGCTTTTGGTCTCTCTGTCTATCTCTCTGGCGAGTGCATTTGCCCTATAGCAAACATCTAAAAAAAAAAGATTTACCATTTTAGCCATTTTAAAAAGAATTATTAATTTTTATTTTTTATTATTGTTATTATTTTTAATTTACTGTAGGGCATGCACACTTACCAGAGAGAGAGAGAGAAAGGGGGGAGGGACCAGCAGTGACATAATGGTTATGTTGCTGGACTCCCACATAGTTGACCGTGGTTCGAGTCCCAGACTTGGCAGCTTAAAACAACAAAATCCTGACTTTTGACAGAAAGTGGATGAATATGGAAGATTTACTGCTGAGTGAAACAAGCCAGGCTATGAAGTAGAGACATTGTATGTCCCCACTTAATATATACCGAGTGTTCGCACTCTGTCTGAAAGGGATTGACTGAAGGATATAGAAACACAGTAAATGGCTGTAAATATAGACATAGTGTGAGTGAAAGAGTAGGGTGTGAGGAAAAACAATTAGAAGAAAAATGGGGAGGAAAAGCATTAATGGGACAAAGAAACATGCCAATTTCTGTTAAAGATATTTTGTAGTTTAGTCAACTGGACTAAGGAGAGATATTCACATATTGAAATATTCACTTTGGAAGCTAAATAATGTGATTGACTGTATAAAAGAAAATGAAATAAAAAAAAAATTCTATGGGGAAAACAAAAAACAAAAAAACCCCTGACACTGGGCACGTGTGTGTGCATGCCCAAGATCCCAATAGAGGATAAGGATTGTGGCATGGCCATCTCCCCTGGGAGGTGATTTCTTGCTTTCTGTCTCTCTGTCTCTCTGGCAAGTGCACGTGCCCTATAGCAAACATCTCTCTTAAAAAAATAAAAAGAGAAAGAGAGGGAAAGTGAGAGAGCAAACCTCCAGGCCCGGGACTCAAACTGTGGTCAGCCATATGGGAATCTAGTGCCTTAACCCCCACACCACCTTCTGGCCTCCATTTTAACCATTTTTAAGTTTATGATTTAGCGATAGTAAGTATATTCACGTTATTGTGCTACCGTCACCACTATCCATTCCTAGAACTTTATTTTCTTTGTTTGTTTGTAATTTTTGCTATAGGGTGCATATTAGAGAGACAGAGAAAGATGAGAGAAGGAAAATAATGAGAAATCACCCCTTGGGGGGATGGCCACACTGCAATCCCTTCTCCTCCATTCTCTTGGGACTTGGGGCACACGTGCACATGTGCCTCTTCATCACGTTTATGGCTGGATAGTACTGCCGTGTGCACATCTATAGCATATGTTTTTACTGTTTGTTTCTCCCGTCATCTGTTGATGGACACTTGGGCCATTTCCATCATTTGTGAATGTGACCACTGGTGTACTCCATATTAATTTCAGAAACAATTTTTCCAGGACCAAATAAGCCCTCTAATTGCTTTTTAAATTACCCTCCATCCTCGTACCCGGCCATGCCCACACCTCCCAGCACTCACCACTCTGCTCAATCACGCTATGTCTGGTACCGTTCCGGACGTCCCATCCCCAGTGCAGTGCCGCCTGTGGCTTTGCTGCCTTCGTCTGCTCCTGCTCTTCTGGTAAAGCTGGAAGCTCCTCTCCTGTCACTAGGAGGGGAAAAGCGCCCCTCCTGAGCTCTTGCCTAGACTCCCCTGCTGGCTTCAGGGCTTGGTTCTGAGGGACTTTTCTGGAAAATAAAGACTGCACCTGCAGACTGTGTCTGCCTTCAGGCTGGTGGAGCTCTCTGGGTCCCCAAATGTGCCCTACCTTTCCTGCCTCTGGAAGGCCCT